GTATCAGCTGGATGCTTCACTCTCAGCTCTAGCCCTCCGTGGCTATGTCCTTGTCCATGGATTCAGGTGTCCCCAGGTCTCACCACACTTTGGACCAACCAGCCCTACTTCTTCTCTCTTGCATCTCCAGGTCAACGGGAGTCTGTGGAATGTGGTTGAACTCAGCTTATTTCTTCATTGCTGCCTTTCCTCCTCTTCTACTCACCAGTAGACCAATGTGGTCACCAGGAAGCTTACATGCCTGCTTATGGGTTCCCTTTGAGTTTCAGTCTTGGAGAGGGGTTTGTCCTGAAGGGACTTGATAGCTTGTCTTGAAGGCTCCCCGGTAGTCACTCTTGTAGAGTGTTTTCATGTAATGTGTCTGTCTTGTCTGCTGGAAGTCCCAGCAATAATTTATTGATACAATAATTTTCTTGTGGAATCTCTAGGGTCTTCTGTGTATAGGTTAGAATCCTGTTGGGGTGTTGTGGGTCCCAATACCTTATTTGCTTGGTTTCACCTCCACAGGGATCTGTTTACCTTATTTTCAGTATTAGCAAATTGTCTAATTCCTTTGGTGGGCCTAAAGCACTTTATTTTCATTGCTGTTATGTGCCATGGAGTCGGTTCCAACTCACAGCGACCCTGTACAGGGTTTCTGAGGCTGTATATCTTTACAGGAGCAGAAAGCCTCATCTTTCTCCCACGGAACAGCTGGTAGTTTCGAACTGCAGAGCTTGCGGTTCGCCGCCTGATTCGTAACCACTACGCTACCAGAGTTCCTTATTTTCATAGTCCCACCTAAATATTGGATGGACAATTAAAGACCATGGCATGGCTAGAAAGGGCTTTTTTTTTTTTCTTAATTGGTAGTTTTTAAAATGATATCTCCAGCCTTTTCTTTTGTAATAGGTCTGTTTTAAATTTTCTACCTCTGTGTTAGTTTGGGTAAGTTGTGTGTTTCTAGGAGTTTGTTCATTTCATCTAGCTTTTCAATTTATTGGAGTGTAATTTTTCATGTATTCAGTTATGATCATCTTTATTTCTGTTGGGCTGGCTGTAATATCACCAGTTTAATATCTAACTTGGTTATTTACCTCTTTTGGTTTTTTGCTTTTGTCAGTGTAGCTAGTAATTTGTCTTTCTTAATCTTAACTTCTGATTTTAGAGCTCTTAAGGTTTCTTGTTTCATTATCATTTTGTTGTTCTAGTTCAGGAGTTCTGTATGCTTGATCTCTGGAATCCAGTACACATGTATGGGAGGGTGATGGTTTAGTTGTTCAGTGATACTGCTGTAAATGCTGGGGCTCAACTTTCCTTTTTTGATGGTGCCCCTGTATAGACCCTCCCATGGGTCATTTCTTTTGACCCTGTCAGACTGAAGTATTCTCTTTGTTCTGCTGGCCTTGCATTTCCTCGCAGTTCTGTTACTCATCTCTCAGGGGCCTCAGCGAGATTCAGTAGCACTCTTAACACTGTGCCATATTTTCCCTTTACCCCCTCTCACTTGTTCAGTCTGTGAACTATCATGGGCAGTTTGCTCTGTCTTACAAAAAAAGCTGAGCTGGAGTTTCCTCAGACTAGCTTCTATTCTGTGTTCCATGTTTGAGGTCTTAACCAGACCCCAGCCCAACGTGTCTGTGATGAATGATCGTTCCTGATGTTAGTGGGTAGATTCCAATCCTGTTCCTCTTCTTCCTTGCTTAGGGGCTCACCCTGACTCTCCAGTACCTCAGCTGCTGGCTAGAGTCTGAGATCTTACACTGCTTGTTTTTATTTATTGTTCAATGAGTTAGTTGCTTGGGCATAAGTGAGACTTTGTACTCACTTTACCATCTTGCCTGGTTTTTTCCATAAGGTTTTCGCTGGCTGAAGTTTTTAGAAGTTGATTGCCAGGCCTTTCTTCTGAGGAGCCACCGGGTGAACCACCAACCTTTTGGTTAGCAGTCAAAGGCACCACCCGTATATTACATTCCTGTAGCCAGTTCCTTATAATTGAAAACTTGGGAGTGTTTTGCATGTTTTGCTTGGTCAGCATGCTCTGTTGTATACCTCTGAGCACTTTTTTTGATTATTTCTTACAACTAATTCTCTGACTGTGAAATTGCTGGCCCTAGGGGACGTACTTTTGGCAAAACTTGATCCGTGTTATTCTTGTTAAGTGTCATTGAGTCAGCTCCAACTCATATTGTTTCTGAGGCTGTAAATCTTTGTGGGAATGGAAACCTCATCTTCCTTCTGTGGAGCAGCTGGGTGGCTCAAACTGCTGACCTTGTGGTTAGCAGTCCAGTGCTTATCCTACAGAGCCACAACATTCCCTTGGTTCTGACTACTTTCAAAGGAGAGTGGTGCTGTTCCCCTTGTTCTCCCTAGCTAGGAGCCTTTGAGAGTTCTGGGTTTACTTACACATCCTCTACTGGCATTGTCATTCTTTTAAATCTTTATTGAAGGCTGCTTCCTTACCATGGCTCTGTAGAGCAGTTTGGGAAGTGAATCTTATGTCCTACTTTTGCCCTAGGATCCTGGGCTAGAGGGTCCCCTCAGGAATCTCTGGTCCTGACAGTCCTCTCCCCCGCAGGCTCAGCAGGAGACTCAGAAGGCTGCACTGCGGTACGAGCGGGCAGTGAGCATGCACAACGCTGCACGGGAGATGGTGTTTGTGGCTGAGCAGGGCGTCATGGCTGACAAGAACCGACTGGACCCCACATGGCAGGAGATGCTCAACCATGCCACCTGTAAGGTGAGCGGGGCAGCTGCCCCCAGGCCTCTTTCAGCTGTTTTCCACTAACTCCTTTGCTTCCTTTTCCGCATTCCTTTTTCTTTCTTGTTGTTGTTTTCCAGCCTTCCCTCAACTTTGATTCTGTCTCCTGCAAAACCTATTCTTTATTCTTTGCCCTGTTTGGCCTCTTGTGCTTCACCAATTCTGTTTTCCTTTAACTTAGAATGTTTTTCCTGAATGTTCTCAAATCTTTGCTTCCAGATATGGACTACTCACAAACATCCATCCTACTGCTTGTTCATGATTCAGCACTTACATTTCTTTCTCTTTTTTTATGTGCTATGTCCTTGTGCTCCTCATGAGCTCAGGAGTCCCCAGGTCTCTCACTACACTTCAGACCAACCAGCCCTTCCTCTTCTCTCTCTCATCTCCAGGTCAACCGGAATCTGTGGAATGTGGTTGAACTCAGCCCATGTCTTCATTGCTGCCTTTTCCACCTTCCATTCACTAGTAGACCAATGTGGT